TTTTTACTGTGTCTGGTATTCATTTACATAGAAACTGCATGTTTTTGCAGAAATGATCATTTATCTTTGAGTTAGATTTTTTCAACTATTCATTCATTTATTTTCTTTTCGACTTAGTCCCTTTATTAATCAGGGCTCGCAAAATCGGAATGAACCACCAAATTATCTAGCAAATGCTTTACTCAGCGGATGCCCTTCCAGCTGCAACCCAGTACTGGGAAACATCCATACACACATATACACTATGGACAATTTAGCTTACCCAATTTACCTATACCACTTGTTTTTGGACTGTGGGGGAAACCGGAGCACTCGGAGGAAACCCATGCGAACACGGGGAGAACCTGCAAACACAGAAATGCCAACTGACCAAGTCGAGGCTCGAACCAGTGATCTTTTTGCTATGAGGCGATTGTGCTACCCACTGCGTTTGCTCTACTATACTTTAACTAAATGTAACATTTTTGTTTCTCTTGATTTTTACTGCTTAACATTATTATTTGTTTTTAAATATTTAAAATCTAATAATTATAATTTGGGTGTGCTAATTTTTGAACTGTGATTTGTAGCTTTTTTTTTTGTTAGATTGGTTCCAGATTTGGTATTGACTAATCTAATGGATTTGCACTATTCTATTATTGTAAAGCATCCTATAGAAACTATAAATTTAAAAGAGAGATCTATGAGGGGTGTACTCATTTAAAAACGTTTTGTTTAGTCTTTTTTGGTAAATTGAATTGATCTAAGTGACAGTAAAGATATCATAACTGAGTTTTTGGTTTTAAAAATAAATGTTCCTATGAATGTTCTACAGTACTTTAAAAATGTCAACTAAACAATATTTTTTCAAAACTGATCAAAATAGTAAACGTTTTTTGAGCAGCAAATCAAAATACTGATTTATGAAGGATCATATGACACTGGACACTTCAGAAATGATCCACAAAGTTCAGGTTTGCCATCACATGATAACTTACATTTTAAAATTATTCAGATATAAAACACTTGTTTGAAACCATAATATTTCACATAAAAGTCTAAAAAATACAGCCTTGGTGAGAAACCTTGGTGTAAAAAAAGAAACTATTTTATAAGCTATAAACAACTCAGATAAACAGATGTTTATCCTTGACCATACATTTCCTAGGACATTTCACGTGAGAAATTCAACCTCGAAGTACCACCTTCATAGTTCATATATTTGCAGTCAGAATAATGAAATGCTAATAAACTGTTGTCATGGGGATATTTCTCTGCAAAAACAGACATATGTTTTAATTAGATTTCGAAATTGCCAAGGAAACAAAGGAAACGAAGAAAAGCTTACGAGGTACCAGGCATTTAGAGGCACCTCAGAGGAACTATTTGCTGAGCTTGTGAATTTCTTAGTATCAAACCATTAAAATATATTCAAATCTTTTTTTTTTCTGGGGCATTTTGGCAAGTAATTTTCAAACAGGCTTATTGGAAATATTTGTGACTGCTTCTGTTTCTGCTAAATCTATAGTATTTATTTCCTGCACTTTCCAGATAAAACATCCACCAAAAGAGGATGGGCAGCTCAGAAATGGTGCTAAAAGTTTAAAGGGGTAGGGGGAGTTTAAAAGGGTTTCTACACCTATACATAGTAAAAACCTGTTGCAAGTTTCAAGTTGACTTTAGTTAAAAGTAAATAAACCCTTTTAAACTTGGAACTGTTGAGCTGACCTAACTTGCATTAAATTAAATATTTATAATTATGCACATAGGTCATTTATTTAATTTTAAGGCAGGAAGTCTTAAAAGCCTATTTTTACTTTAATAAAAATCAAGTAATCTCTTTAATAGCAAAGGGGTTTACTATTTTTTTAAAAAGTAAAGTTACCCAAGTGATTTTTACTGGGGGAAAAAAATCCTCATTTACTCATCCTCCATGTGTTACAAACCTGCTTGATTTTCTCTCCTCTATTTTAAAAACAAAAAAGAAGAGCTTCTGAAGAATACTGAAAACCAGTAGCCATAAAATTTCACATTATTCCCCAACCCAACATGGCTACCATGTTTTGAAGGCTCACATAACAAGTTGTGAGTTGCATCAGGTGAGCTACAGTGTCCTATAAAATTTGTTTTATTTATCTATTTCTATTTTCCAGTTTAATTTTATTTTAGATTCCATTTTCAGATTTAATTGAATTATTAATTTTGAAAAAGGTAAAAAAAAAAAGTCACCAAGCATCTCTAATCAATTGAAATAATTAAATAAACAAATGAAATAAAAAAGTCATACAGAGATGTGTGATGCAGCATGTAAATCGTTAAAGACTTGAGATCTTTCTATAGTATTTTGTAGGACTTTAATTATCACTAATCTTTCCATAATCATAATTTGTGTAAAATAGGTTAGCGTTTTACTAACTCTAATGTTCTTATCACCTAGAAACTGCAGCATATTACATTGTTGGCAGATTCATGTAATCACGAAATTGTTGGTAATTTTAGCTTTGTTTTCAGAGTCATATCCCAAAGGTCTGCTTTACACTCTATGCATGAACATAAAGAGTGAAAAAAAAAAAATCAAAGGATGGCAGGCAAGTGTTTAGAGACAGAACGATGATTCTGTGGTGCCATTCAAGCATCCCAGAGACAAAGACAAACACTCTCTTGTCTTCAGTGGCTTGTTTCAGTAAATTAGCTTTTGCCTTCCAGAACACCTACAGACAAGTACATGCTCACACACATCCAGGGATAGATGAGAACCAACCTCCTGCTGGGATTGAATTATGACTTTACCTGCACAAACGCGAGCAAACGCACACGGCGAGAGTTGAACATTTCATTCTCTGGATGCTCCATAAGCACAAATACTGGCCTCCCACACTCTCTCCCCTCCCTGGAGATCATTTTTAGAGGTTTCAGTGTGTTTAGGCACTGTTTAATGGAGTCTGACTCAGCAACTCCCAGAGCACCAAACATCTGCTTTACCCTCCGCAATACAACGTTTTACTGACCGTAGAACACATATTCACTCCAATCATTTGGCCCTTGATTTGCCATAAACAGGCAATGCTCATTCGTAATCATCAATGTTATATAAAGGAAAAAGTGAGATGTTTTGTGGAAATCATTTCCAGAAACAAAGCAGTCATGTGGAACAACCTTTCTGCCTTAACACTTAAGCGAAAAGCCAACAATTTTCACTCAACAAAACAGAATTAGAATTTGAAAGTAATGTTTAAAACAACAACAACAACAACAAAAGAACAATAAAAAGATTTTTTGTAGTGAAGCTCAATTAGTGGATCATGGAAATAACAATCATGGGTTAATCATAGCCAGCAAAAAAAAAAAACTTAACAATTGTTTACTTATTCAGATTAAATGATCTGTAATGCATCTTAGCTGAGCACTTCTGATCAGATCAATAACATAATACCAGGTGGAATATTTTTATGCACATTCCACAACACCTCAGAGTGTAAAAGCTTTGCATGTTTATGACTCTAAAGTATATGTTTGAATATCATATAGGATCATCAGTATTTCTGTTATCCATTTTGTTTTTACACCAAACTCACAGCGGAGAAATTAAAATGGTCGTGCCGAACTGAGTCTGGTTTTTCTCAAGGTTTTTTTCTTCACTCTCCTATCTGTGAAGTTTTTTTTTCCCTCTCCGCTGTCGCCACTGACTTGCATGGTTTGGGATCGGTCGAGCTGCGCATCGATGAATTTGCTCTTCAGTGTTTGGACTCTCAGTAATGATTTTAAACCACACTGAACTGAGCTAAACTGAACTGAACTTAAACACTAAAAACTGAGCTACCCCGTTCCAGTTACTATTACCATTTATGTCTAGCTGCTTTTACACAATCGACATTGTAAAAGCGCTATACAAATAAAGCTGAATTGAATTGAATTGAATTTTGGACACTTTTGATGCTTCCAAATAGTTTGCTGCATTTATGAAGTGTAATGCAGTTTACTTTCTATGTGTGATTTGATTGGATGGGAATCACAGGATTGATTTTTCTACTCAGCCAAGCACCATAGAAAAGAAAAAAATAAAGTAGTGACTGCAGGTCGAAGGAAAGTATTACAAATAAAAGTACACATTTAAGCCAAATCCCAATTCTATTTTTGTACCTCTACCCCTTCCACTTGGCCCTTACAACCGATATATACACTGAAGGCATATATTATGTTATCATAACAATCTGCATTTACCCAGTGACCATATTCATCAATGTAAACACACCAAAAACAACATTAACATTATAGCAGACACTGTAAAAAGTTAATTCCCAGCCACTAAACATTTCTGACAAGGTATTCGAGTGTCATCGAGTGTCAGAATATTGTGGGACTGCTATACAGGAGTTATGATTATGGATTATAAATCGCGAAATCTAGCGTTTTGTATTGTAGCGTATTTGTTATTTTAAAGCATGACGGTAAAACACGAAAGCGGTTATGAATATATTAAGTTTGTATTATAATAATATAATTAATATATTATGTTTGTTTGCTGCAAAAAATTTGTAATAATAACAAAAAAATACTAATTTGTGGATCTCCTTACTTCCGGGTGCAGCAATCCTGCCGTTGTGGCTGGTGTATTCTGGGAAATTTTCGTACCTCTTTGGTTTCAAGCGTGAAGCTGAAAAATCTTAATTTGAAGGGGTATTTACCCCTTCCCCTTAGCCCTACGCCTTGAAGCTAAAGAGAATTGGGACACCCCTACCCCTTGACATGGGTATTTGCAATTTGTTATTTCTTACCACTGCTCACAATACACAAAACAACACGACAAAAGGGTTAAAAGCATTTTATGCTATGTTTTAAAATGCATCAAATGCATTACACAGAGCAGTAATACCTGGTTCTAGCCTGTTTAAGCTTTAATAGGTTTTGTCTGACTGAAGTTTTTTGGCCTGATAAAGTAACTGCATTCTCACATTTTATGAGTAAATGCTTAGGCTGTGGATTAACCAACACAGACTCATGGGATACACGAATGCACATACCGGCTGGACAGGATCCTTCAGACACAACCAGGATCTCAGTCTGCTGTTTGCAGGCGTCTCTCCGCAGAAAACACTCATTTTCGTAGTTTTCATTGTTGGAGCCACACACAGGAACATAATCATTGTTGCACTGAAAAAAAAGAAGAGATTTGAATCATTAAGACATTTTTAAAAAACAAGGGAGATGTGGAATCGTCAAAGAAACAAGCAACACAGAACACTTAGATAAGATACAAGCAAGTACAGGTCTATAGTATAGCACAACTTTGAGTTATCTGCTTTGAATAAAATGTAATAAATGCAAATACATCACAATAAATAAATAAATAAATAAATAAATAATAAGACACTGTTAAAATAACAGTAGGTTTCAGAAATAAAAACAATTAATAAAAATAAATTTCACAATTTATGTAAGCACAGTATGAAATGGGAACAAGCAAGTCCTTCTTTAAAGACATGATGTAATGTAGAAGACTAATAATTAAGCATGGAACTGACCTACATATTTCATACAGCTTAATTGTGATGTTTTAGCGCTGCTTTATTTGGGGGATTTTTGATGAGCTCCCAGCAAAGAATAAGAATTATGTGATCTGAATGTGAATGAAGCTACAGGGGGCAGCAATACAGCCTGCCAAACACACTGCCCACATTCCCAAAACAGCCGGAAACAAGATTATTACAGTCCAAGAAAACTGGCAGGAACATATCACAAAACATTTACAAATCTATGGTTTTAGGTTGTTTGGCTGTAACGTGATATTTTCAAAATGAAAATTAGGTTTGAAGATTTTTAAATGGGAGGTCAGAGTCTTTGTACAATCTAGAAATGTGTAAAAGGGCCAAAAGGAAAACAATGAGTGAGACATAAAACTGTAAATAATATTGGTGACTTGCTTGCTGATGTCATTTTAAAAACAAAACAAGCTAATTTTTATAAACAGTCATATGATTATTTCACTTTAATCATTTTAAATTAGAGACTTCTGCATGACTAGTTGACTGCTAGTGTACATGTAGTTGCAGAGTTACTTGGTTATTTAACAAAATGTCTAGAGACCATGAAAAAGTGAAAGTGTTAACTTAAAAAAGGGAAGCACAAGATGATTGGATGATAATAATATTTGTAAATGTTCATTTGCATTTAGAACATTTTAGTTTACAAGGCTTCAAACTACTGTTGTATAAATAAACTTCAAAATAAGTTTAAATATAACTTAATGCCCTGCTAATATTAGCTAAAACAGATTTATTTATTCATGTTTTATATCACACTTCAGTGCTCCAACATCCTTCTAAAACATTCCAGTCTCTCTTTTTAAAGCCCACTTTAAAAGCTTGATTTCACAAGAAGCCGGTAGTTTCAATTCACGGGTGGCCTGGTGGAAAATAAAGCTGTTCCAAACCTCACGCGAGTATTTTGGAAGCGTGTGACCGGAGCACACACACTCATCCACCTGGACACACAGTGTCTGGTCCAGCAGGCAGGCTCTGTCAGGCCCCCGGAGGGGCAGGTACAGTCAGGGCTGCTGAGCGACTGTGTGGCTGCTGGCCAGATGGTTGGCAGGGGTCACAGGAATAACTGTGCCCATCGATTCTGGAGCAGGATTTGTACTCGCTGTTTTATCGGCTGAGAAGCAATATTATGCAGGATGAGAAAGCACCGAGCCAACACTGGCAAGAGATCCAGAGAGAGGGGGTGAATTAGGAGGAAAAAAGGCAAAGCTCAGTCTACAGGAGATGATTATGCTGGATGGATGGAAATGAATGGAATACAGCAAAAAGGAAAATGAAAGGCATGGATAGATACATTGCTTGTACTGTTATAGCAATACAAATAGAAAATCAACCAATTGACCATTTTCATAGCAAAGTCAATCCAACTCTGCTACTACAGGAGTCATTTTACACCAGAATTATGTTTTCCTTTGTCATCTGTTAATTCAAATATCTTCAGATTTGTTATTAAAAAAACACAAATCTGTAAAAAAAAAAAAAATCTGTAAATAAAATAATAATATTGTGCTTGGCCATTTGGCAATTTCACCTTGTTTAATGAAACACCACATGTCTGCGTACATGCAGTTCTGTATTTCATCATTTACATCGTTGTTTGGATTGTCATGTATGCCAGGGGTGTCCAAATTCGGTCCTGAAGGGCCAGTGTTCTGCATATTTTATTTCCATTCCCAATTAAACACACCTAAAACAGCTAATCAAGCTCTTTTTAGATATACTAGAAACTTCCAAGGAGGTGTGTTGAAGGAAGTTGGAGCTAAACTATGCAGGATAACGGCCCTCCAGGACCAAGTTTGGACACCCCTGATGTATGCCATTTGCAATGTAAATGAAGTCACTGGCTATGTTTCCATCCGAAGATTTAAATTATATTTTGAGCACAAGCATGGAATATTGCATAAAACAATATGTGAATAAAGCACTGTTTCCACCCAACGAGTAAAAGTAAACAAAATCGTCACTACCTGATAAACTGGTGGCAAATATCAAAAGGAAAACTTTAAAAATGTTGTGGCTGTGGTAGAAGCAACTCTGAGCCTTTTTCTTATATAATAAATGATTTGTATCTCATAAGACAAAGACAAAAGGGATGAAATGTGTTATACCGCTCTGTTGGGAGCGCAGTTGCTCAAAACAGTTTTGGGATGCAATGACACTGAACCACTTGGATGACAGACTTTGGTTAAGAGATCTTAGATAGAAAAGTCTACAGAAGGTATTGTGGTATTTATTTACAGAATATAAGGAGCAAAATAACACTGGGAGTGGTCAAAGCCAAAATAAATTACAATAAATAAAACGAACTAAATTAGAGAAAACTTCCCTGGAATACAAAATACTGAAAACTTACCTCTCTACAATACAGGAAAAAACGAAAATAATAAACAAAGGCACCAATCTCCCTACCACGCTCCAAGTGCAGGGAGACAAAAAGCCAGGTTTAACTTTACATTATTTACAAACTATACATCTTTAAGCATTTTATAATGTGATATTCCAAAATGTGCATACAATTATGCGGATGAAAGAATAGCTACAGTTAATGCTAAATATACTCTGGATAAATGGCTTTTGTTATATTGTTCAGTGCCTAGTTCCATAACAATAACAAACAAACATTAATTTATTCATTTTCCTTTGGATTAGTCCCTTTATTTATCAGGGGTTGCCACAGCGGAATGAATCACCAACTTATCCAGCATATGTTTTACACAGGGGATACCCTTCCAGCTGCAACCCAGTAAAGGGAAATATCCATGGCACACTTATTCACACACACACACACACACACACACACACTCATACACTACTGTCAATTTAGCTTATTCAACTGGACTGTGGAGGAAACCGGAGCACATGGAGAACATGCAAACTCCACACAGAAATGCCAACTTACTCAGCCAGGACTCGAACCAGCAACCTTCTTGCAGTGAAGCCAATTGTGGACCGTGTCGCCCAACAAACAAACAAATAAATTAAATAAATAAATCAAATAAACTAAATATATATTTTGTAAATGGGAAAGCATGCAGAATTGAGTTTTGTGAATGACTTTTAAAGTTGCCTAGACTTAACATGGCAAAGCAAATACTCTAAATCTACTTGTAAAAAGTATTGTAAGCACATAAAGATCTGAATTTATGACTGCATAAGATGTACTATTGAGTATAATGACTCCAGTTGGCTTTTGATAAATTACTCTAGTCTGGTATGTTTGTTAATTAATTTGAAATTACAGTTGGTAAGCATAAACAGACAAAGCAAAAATACCTCAAACAGTGTTTTAAAAACAAAAGGGTTTTACCTATACTCTTCTTCAAATGTACATAACAGACCTTCAATAAAACATTCAAGCCTCCTATCATTGATTTTTACTAAAACTGCCTTTTCTACAATTGTCAGATTTTAAAAATGGTTTAGATAAAACTAGATTAAAAAGTGGGACATTTATACCTATAAGCTCCAGCATGGGTCAAATTTACCAACTATAAAAAAAGCTTGTATTCATGTGCACTGCTTATGTTTGAAATTACTCACCAATGACTTTTACTTTCAGTTTTACTCACTCAATTAGTGGTTATAAAAATAAATAAAGCCACAATGATTAAAAGAAGGCGATATGTAGAGCTATTAAAAACACAAACTGCAATGAACGATGGAGAGTCTGGAGAAATAAGTTATGCAGGTTATGCTGGCTTAAATTGAGATATTTTACCCTACTCATGACCTACTGCTAAAATAATATTGTCATCCTGAAATAATCATTTCATGAGTCTAGACACCTTTTGTTAACTGGCAAAAACAGTGAATTAGTATGTATATATATTTTTTAAACAAAATCACAAAATTTGTGCTGGGTAAAATTTACCGCACTGGCGATTTTAGGAATACAGTGACCTTCAACGATTCTGGTGTTAAAAAAGAAAACTCAGTGATACAAAGAATGAATGAATTTTACTGCAACTATAACTCAATGTATATTTATTTATTCATTTATTTTCTTTTCTGCTTAGTCACTTTATTAATCAGGGGTCGCCAAAGCAGAATGAACCGGCAACTTATCCAGCATATTTTTTATGCAGCGGATCCCCTTTCAGCCACAACGCATCACTGGGAAACATCCATACACTCCTTGGACTTGAGGGGAAAACCGCAGCACCCAAAGGAAACCCACATGAACATGAGGAGAACATGCAAACTCCACACAGAAATGCCAACTGACCCAGCCGTTTATACGTTTGATAATTTCAAGGGTTAGTGTGTGTAATCTAATGCCACTGAGCAGTTATTGAAAGTGTATTATTTTCCCCCAAAATTTCCAAATTCAACCAAGGTCAAATGTGACTCGAGCTCTCTTTGATAAAAATATACCACTATTAGCGCACCTGAGATGGAGGGCGTAAGCAAAGACTGGGTGAGAAAAAAAAACACAACCGGGGTACCAGAATAGAAAAAAACAAATGAAATCTCAGAAGAGCAAAGCATTGAGATGATCTCAAAATAAGCACAGAGCGAACGAGAGAACGAAACGGATATTAGTAGCTTTTAAACCCCTTTCCTTTCTTGGCATTTCTACAGCTTTAAGTGTTCAATCAATCTTTTTGGCCTGG